TTAGGGGCCCAAAATTTCAAAGCCGTTCATATAGATTTAAATTTTCCCGCCGAAATATTAAAAACAAAAATCAATCAATAAACATCCAAAATAATAAAGTAAACTTGACCCTGATATCCAAAAAGCAAACATTAGTTAACATGTATTTCTTTTACGCTCTCCGGATAAAACACCATCTCTCCGCACGGATCAGCAGGTGGTAAGGTTTTTCTCCATGATTTCGGCTTACAGTTTGATTGTGGGCAGTCGGTGACTTTGAAAGCTTTATTCATACAAATGATTTTTCCCCGAAATCCATGTCGTATTCTGCAATATAAAAAAAATTAAGAGTATAAAAACAAAATTGAAGTTTGTAGGCTTTTTTGTTTATGAAAGATATGCTTTATTTAGTCTAATTTCTTCTTGCCCTGTGTTAAACAAAACTCATTGACTGTAAATCTTGTTGAATGTGTTGTTCCCCATTTCTAAACACTTAAGTCCAATGAACATTACTTATGTTATCTTTATCTACAAATACAATAATGAATAACATAGAATAAATTTGAAATGGAAGAGTTTGCCTGAAGACTATTAAGGAAAACAGATTAAAAAATAAAAATTGAATTTCATATTACAGTAGAACTTCTGAAATAATTTTGTTAATTATTGAGTTAAGAATGTTTGTTTATTTGAATTTATGTAAACATACTACATTTTTACCATGCAGATCAAGTACATGTATCAAACAAATTAAGTATTTTGATTTCAGCGTGTTCAGGTGTAAATAGTATTGTACCAGTTCACAACTTTTAACATTGCTAACCTCTGTGTTTCCACAAAAGACAAGTGGCTGTCCCCCTGTTCTCCTTTTCACAGCACGCTCCACCGTTGTCAGCTAAGAGGTAAATATTGAATTCAAAAACGTTGTGAAAAGACAAATTCCATCGATTTAAAATCGCTTTTACAAAGTGGAAAAAAATCTTATTCTTCGCCTTCTTAGTAATAACGTCTTATGATTCTATTCCTGGAGTGTCTTTTTCTCTTGAAACGAATTTTGAGGAAATATGTGTGTGTGTGTGTGCTTGTGGGTTATGTCCAGTGAGAAACGGAGTGATTTGCATCGGGATCGATGTGGAATGCTGCTTTGATTTATAGATATCCTCTATGCGAGAGAATGCTCAGCTTTGCAGTGATACTCAGTATTTCAAGATACAATGTACATGTATCTTTGCTTCGTAGCCCCCGCTTAAAAAATTTGAAAATCCCACATCCCAAACCGCATTTACTTATTAAGGGGATGGAATTATAAAAAATATTAATTGTAATTATTTGTGCTGGTACACAATATTCAAATGTATTTTATACAGTGTGAGAGCTTTAAAGTTTATTTTCTATACCGGTCCAAAACATATCGTATCAGACAAGCGTGCAAAACGCCTTTCAAAACAAAGATTAAAAAGTTTATTTACCAGGGTAAGACCATTCAGTAAAATTGAAAATAAGATGTGTGTAATTATATTATTTTATTGTTGTCTACTTATGTACCACATTCTAATTGAAATCAGGTGACCGATCGTCGAATGCAAAACCGAGAAATTCTCAATTTGATTCATTCTCAATTTGCAGAAAAGAATTTTTTGTCAATTCTAAATTGCAGTAGCATGGGAGCATTCATGAAAGAAATTCAGAAGAAAACAATATTTTGCTACTATGGAAACTTACGGCTGTTTCAAGTAAAGTTTGTGTTGCAGGGTTGGTTTAATAGACTAAAAGTTCATTGTAAATCATACCTCATATGATTTTCCAGGACTGATTCCAGCAGATGATAACATACTATCAAATACAAATAAAATTATAAGTGGTAAAAATGGCTTGACAAGAAAATAATATGGGACAATGTTAGTTTTAAACATTTCATTTCAGATCCATCAACTCGTGATCACGTGTAGTAAAGAAGACAAGAATATATGTTAATTCTAAATGTATAACATTTCATATATCGCATCAATTCGCTTATAAACACTTATTATAGACACAATAAACTAAATTCAACAAAACGTTTCTGTAAAACATTGATGTTTCACATGGCACCTAGATATGAAAGGTTAGTTTCAAAAATTCAAATCAATTTGCAAGGTCAAGAAAACAAAATCAAAAATATTGGAATTCAAAAAGGGTCTTGTCACAAGGAATACGCCAGTAAAATATGAAAACCGTAGCACTTAATGTTCAAAGTTTAACCCAAAGTTAAAAGTTTTTCAAAAGTAAGTCAGACTCCATGGTCAAGAGGTAAAAAATAATGGGAAGGCCTTATAACAAGGGATGCTATTTAAACTGTTTGAAAGTTACCAGTTACCAATATTCAGATTTTCAAAACGAGATTTGGGTCAAAGCACAGGCCTTTAGATCGCCTAGAAAAAAATTGAGGTGTTAAAAAAATAAAGGTATGGAACTCTTTTCATTTGGTACCTTCTTTCGCCTATAAAATTCTTTTACATCAAATGCTTTATAATATTACTTTCTATCCATATCTATTCATATTTAAAAAATATTCATTATATGTACTACCAAAGTTCATTCCGTAATCCTTATACTTCTCGAGATATTCTGAAATCAATTCCAAAACTGACCTAAATTTTTTTACTCGACATCAGCTTGGGCCTTTGAAGAGCTACACTAATTGTTAAGCGGGAACGACGGGACAATTTTTCCCCGGAATTTATTTTATACTCAATGAATATTTGCACATTTGCATTCGAGCTTTACAAGATTTTCTCTAATTTGATCACATGATCTAACTAATTCACCAACATTTTAGCGGTCTCGTTATTTTTATAATTGAAAGGTATATTATACATTCCGTGAAAAATTCGTTCAACCTTAGCTTCTTTCACATTCATAATCAATATGGCGGTGCAGATGTTGATGTAGACGTGTTTAAATTTATTTTTCGCGAAAGGTATTACGACATAACCTTACAATCTGGAGTAAGAATGTTGAAAGATTTTGCAAATACTATGCAACTATTCGCTGCAACTTCAAACACCGTCTGTTTACATGTGAATGACCAAAGGCCCAATCGAATTTAGAGTAAACATATAAAGAGGTCATTTTTGAAATAATTTTGAATTAAGAATATTTCGAAAAGTGTATTGAATTTCGGAATGAGCTTTGGTAGAAATGAAGAATGTTTATTTATGAATAGATTTAAATAGAAAGTAGTATTTTAGAGTATGTGAATAAAAAATATTTTATTAGCGAAATTGGGTACCCAGTGTAAGTGTTCCATACCTTTATTTTTTTTTTTACACACACAATTTTTTTTAAGCCATCCAAAGGCCTGTGGGTCAAAACGTCAAAATTTGAGCCCAAGGAAATGTCTAGCCACGCGAGGAATACTTTTTCGTAAATTCTCCTGTCGCTGTAACACCTTGTTACAGTGTATCAAATAAATATCCTATATTTGTGTTGTATTTTAGCTGACTTGTTTTACACTTCTAGTTGTCAGAGGTTTTTTTTTTTAATACTAAATTTGACTTTTTTTTTCATCTTATCAATACGAAGTGGGGATGTTGGATGGGACCGCTCATCAGGGGATGTTTACTACTACTCCTCTCGATCTCACATCACCTTTGGAATTTCCATAGGTCCTTGTTCGATGCCCTCTTCACATTATTGTATTGATTGTTGATTTTTTTCAGATGATTACTCAACTGTCATCTTCACCTTTTATAGTTTTAAGGTCTCCCCCGATGTACCCATAACATTCATTTTAAAGTACCGAGTCGTTTTAGCATTTGAAATAAGTCTCAACTAGGATTCGGGCACACGACCTTCCTATGACGAGCCATCCCTCTACCGACTAAGCAACCATGACGGTAATGGTCTTGTCGAAGAAATATTCATGTGAAATATGAAAGCCAAAGCTCCAACCTTTCAAAAGGTAAGGGGAAGGTTAATATTTTCCTTACAACTGACGGACGAACGGTGCAAAAACTATCTGCTCTGGGGGTATTAAATTAATGGATTTTTGTATGTTGAATGTCTATAATTCAATCCTGATTCATTTCAAAAATACATTGATTTTTACAAGGTGTGGTACCTCTAGGATAATTTTAGTCTTACTCTTACCTGCCAACATCATTGATTAAACGAAGGTCGAGAGTTTTGTTAAAATACTTCAGTTCTGTGCCAGTTTCTTCTACTATTGTTGCACATCTACCATGTGCTTCCCATTCGTGTTTCCTAAAATAAAATAAATTTGAAAAAATTGCTCTAGTATTCTTCACTGACGACGTATGTCAAAAATAATGTACACATTTTCTACTCCTCAAGAATCAAATGCAGATTGTGTTATCCCACTAACATTATAATAAGCAGTAAAATCATAAGTCGTTGTAATGTTGTTACTTTAAAATTTGCATAATGAGAGAAAAATTTCTTTGTCTAGGACAGTCAGCCCAATACAAGTTTAAATAGTATGCTTGTCGCTTGCGAAGCGCAGTTTTTGAGAGTGTTTGCTCTGCATGCACGTACAGTCGCGGAGCCAGGAACTTATTCTTTCGCCGCGGGTTCGAATGTGCCATGGAACGTAAAGACCCCATCCATCGGATGGGTCTGTATAAGCCGAGGTTCGATGTTGCAGTAGGTGCTTTAGCGTTTAGGTACCGAGCACCGGTCTAAATGGAGACCTGCGCCCAAGATACCAAGTGGCAGCGTATCAGATGAATAATTCAAAGAGAAAAATTCTTAAAAAGAAATAAAACAAATCCGTCTAGCTTCTCTTCATGAAATTCATCAGGAATGGTGTATGGTTTAAATACCCTTTACACATCAAGTCAAATTAGTATGAAATTAAATTTAAATATGTAAGAAAATAAGTTATATAATAAAATTATATCAGTACACCGTGTTCTATAAAACGAAATATTTTTGAAGAGGAAAAAACCAATCACTTCACTTATTTTTCAAGATATCTCTTCCTTTGTTCATTTTGGGAAATACTTCACATCCTAAGTCCGTAATAACAAAATTTAAGAATTTATTCACTGGATATTGACTTGGTATTTCTCCAAAGAAGAAAATGATAGTTTCAGTAATCAGATTTAATTTCTACAATTACTTAGCTTTAAAACCACAATAAATAACATTATTAATTTATAATTTTATCATATTGTTTTATAAAAAAAATCTAATTGTAATGCAACAAATCAAGTTTATTTAATCATTGCTCAACAAGATGTCCACTGGTCTCCAATTTTTATATGTTTATGAGTTTGATATAATTTTATTGTAGAACTTATATTCTGACATATTTAAATGTAGTTTCATACTAATTTGACTTGATGTTAAAAGGGTATTCCTGATGAATTTCATGGAGGGAAGCTAGACATAGAAGCCTATTTACGACAGCTTCTCGTACAGTCATGTATATAGCATGTCAATGACTCAAAATTTTTATTTGCTGCATTAATATAATGAATCATCTATTTTTGGACACATTATCATGGCCAGAAATACGATTTTCTTTATGCATAATCGTTTGAATAATATTTATTATAGAAAATAAAATCCTGCAAATCAATTTAAAGTATATGGTTTTTGTTTTCCTTTGGTGTCTTTTTAATTTTTGTTTGATTCATGTTTGCATTTTTGTGTATAAAAAAAATCAAGGCAATTTGATATTTTTTGTATCAAGCTTTAAAGGATTTAAATGCTGATCTGTTTACATATGATATTGTTTAATTTTAAAGAATGAAAGAAAATGTTTGGAGTCAATAATGAATGCACATTTTGATATATTGACCTTTCTTTTAAACATCCCTCTACCAGAATGTTTTATAACTTGCGTAATTAAAAATTTTCATTAAATTAAATAATTATAACAATTTTGAAATTTGAGGTACTGACCAAAACTGACGAGTGACAAACTGAAAGTATATGTTCGACTCACCAGAAGTCATACTGAGGTCTATCAGGCAGCTGATTTGGCCAGTATTTGTTTAGTCTGTCTAACAAGACCTGAAGAGAAAAATGTAATTTTTACAGTGTACAATATGTCGTTTTGATTAACTTCATAGTGGTTAAAACTACCTAAGCTTTAAATTGCTCATTTATAGTATAAAAAGAAAATATCAATTATTGATATTATTTGACAATTGAATTATCATCTCTCTGTAGAGTACCTGTAATCATCACATAAGATTAAACTCTTTTGATAAGACAGGCTTCAAAATTTAGCTGCATAGACACTAAAGGCATTGATCCCCCCCTTTTTTTTTTTTAATTTTCAAAATAAGAGATCGACATGATTTCCCTTAAATTTTCGAGTATTCTTATATTCATTCCTTGTACATGTTATCGATAATGTAACCTTTCTGTCTCTATAGGCTGTTTTAAAAATATCGTCATGTATATACTGTAGATCACTAAATTTTCGCGACACGTTATTTTCGCGAAATAGGCATTAATTCTTAATATCAATTCTCTGTAATTATCAAACAATATCAATAATGCTTGGCCACGCTATATTTTCAATTTCTATGAAACTTTTTGTGTGTACTCACATTGTCACATCATTCATGGTTTTATATTTTTTTATTTCAAAAAATGTCTCGCTGCCATGGTAACGGCACCTATTGTTTCCCCTGTAAATTCTTCCTAAAATTTGACCAAAAAACGTGATTTTGTAGGTTTTACTGAATAAAAATGAGCTTAAAGGAAGCAAGAGAATGGGAAAATCTACTTTTGTTTCAAAACTACCATTAGTCCTCTCTAGTATAACAACATAATTTTTTAAAAATTGTAATTCTACATAATGGCTTAATAACGATTAGCTTTGGGGATTTTGGCATTTTGCCAAATTGAGAAAATTACCATTTTAGACCCCTTTTCAAAGCCATTTTTTAATACTTTGCACACTGATTTGAAATTCAGGAAACAGTGCATTGTATAGATGGTACATAAGTTAGTTTAAACACATTAAAATATTTATGGGACACTTCAACATTTTTTTTTTAAAAGCTGATGAAAAATTACCCAAAATCATTAAGTTCATATAGAAAAGATATGTTCCTTTCTACCTGTTTTGATGTCATTTACAGTAAAATTAGTCCATATCTAGGAGAAGTGTCATGTAAAAATATTCACATCCCATTTCCAAGAGCATTAATACATGTAAATATGTTCTTAGATAAGAGAACTGTGAACACCTGCACAAAATGCCCCCCCCCCTTCCGTAAAACTGACAATTTTGAAGTACATGTAGACTAACCAGGGCATGTATCAAGTTTCCTTATCCTATCCCCTTAGATTGAAACTTATATGAAATAAAATTTTCCCTATCCATTCTCTATTACTATGGAAACAGGAATGCAAGATTTGTTACCATGGAGACAGGAATACCAGATTTTTAACCAAAATGGCTGCGTTTAACTTAATTCCCAAAACTACACTTATTTACTTTTTTATAAAACCTGTGTAATGAGTTAAATGTGAATGTGAACTAAATTTTTTGGCATCTTAAATTTGCATCTTTATGATGTTGCAAAAATATAATGCATTTTGTAATGCTATGCCAAATAATTGCAAAACCTTGTGGCTTTTACTTTTTCAAGATTTGGTCAAACTTGAAAAATTCTGAAATGAAACTAAAACAAGCAGGGCATTCATAATATTTTACTCATTTCAACTTCTTACTTTGTATAATTACTTATTAAATTCATGGGCAACTGCAAACCACAGACACTTTGAATGAAGTAAAAAATTTAACCCCCCCCATTCTGATTTTTTCTTTTAAAACTTATGAAACATGACTTTAAACTTGAGAAAAATTACATTGGTTTAAACAAAAATCACATCCTATTGGGTAAGTTAACTTGGATTCAAACATAAATATCCAACAATGGAAAACTTTAAACGTAGTGTTTGGCATATAATTAATAATTAGGTTTGCAATGGATCTTTTGTATTCTGTAAAGTCAGTTGAAACAATGCCCCCCCATGAGACACTGTCCCCCACAAGTATCATTTCAAGGAAGTTCTTCCTATCATTTTACTAGGTTCCTGCCAACATCTCATCACACCAACTATATCAATCTCCTTTTCCTTTTTTTTCACATGTTAATATAAATTATGAAAACAAGAGAACTTTTCGCTTTTTTATTTTTTATATATGCAACATTTAGAGTACATGTGTTCTCAACTACGGTACATATCATTATATTTACATAACAAATTCTACTGTTTCTGCTGCTCTGAAAATCTTGATTTTTCAATTTTAGAGTTTTTGTTGGTCAGGCATGTACCAATAATGACCTACATTGACATACGCAAGTAACACTGATAATTAGTTAATGAGAATTATGTTGAGTTGAGTTTTTTTTGGCAAGGTACAGAATAAAGCATGATAAGTTCTAAAACATATTGTTTTACAGCATAAGATTTGAGGATGCCATCACATAATATGATAAACATGTTCCTATTATATTTGAACTTTGACATCTCAAACACTGATATCTTGAAGACAGTACAAGTATGTTGAAGTAGGTTGGAATTCAGCTTTAAACATGGCATCCCTTCTCAACCTGCAATGGTAAATAATTCCTGCACTTTCCAATATACACTGATTTCAAGCTAATTAAATGTGTATGTAATCCTTTAGAAAGTTGTTTTCTTTATTCTAGTATAATAATTCTTCTGTTACTGGGCAGGTATTAAATTTTGTTTATAAAAAGAAATAAGCAAGGTTTAGATTTAGATATAAAACTGAAATATTTTTTAACAGTTAAAGGACAGATGATACAAACAAACTTTTGTCAAAGAATTTGAAAATAACAACTGGGGTCATATTCAAATCAGTAAAATTAATAACTTTCTTCAAGTACTTTTTAATTTTTAGTTCATATTTGCATAAAAATGGAATTTGAAGTGAAAAATATTTGTAAAGATTAATAAGGATAGTTTCAAGAGGGCAGACTTTTGAACATCACAGAAGGTTTACAATTTCTTAATATTCTAGAAATTTATTAATAGCATCATTAATTTGCAATTAAATTATGCCAAAAAATATATACCAATCCAGGCATCCATTTTTTGTTTGTATCATCTGTCCTTAATTTACTTTCATATTTTAAGAATGGTAATACCTTGAAAAGAACAAAATCTAGGCTGTCCACTTTCTTGCAGAATGCACTTGAACTTCAGTCATGGCCTATTTGGTCCTGTTTTGGTTTATTGGTCTTACTTTTTCTTTACTCATCTTATATGGTAAATCCTTTGATGAAAAAATGATGAAAATAATTATTTTCCTGGGAACATGATCAAAAGGAAAATTCATTTCATTCATACACAGACATGTCCATGTGTGTGATCATCTTACCAGTAGTGAATATTTGCCTGAGTATCAAATAATTTCTTTAGAATATTATAAAACATGATCAGTGTGTATAACACAAATATCATTATAAATCAGAGGTGAATATTCTACACACATGTACATGTATATAGTTTTATTATACCCTCCACTTGAAAAGTGGTAGGATATACCGTAATCGGTATGTCCATCTAGCTGTACGTCCATCTGTCTGTACGTCCGTCTGTCTGTTACGCTTTTGGGTACCCATCTCTTATTATCCGCAACTCCTCTTACATGTATACCACTGCAATGAGTGACATTTAATGAAACTTTCACAGAATCTTTATAACATATTGCCATTGTGCACCTCTTTACTTTTTGATCCGATACATACTTTGGGGGGTTTCTGGCCACAGTAAAACATGGATTTGTCATCAGTTATAACCATATGGGAGGCAGGGGGTATCATTTAGTGAGCTCATTGCTCACAGTACCTCTAGTTAACATGGTTAAATTTTGTTTTAACACTAATACATATGTACAAGTGTACATATATATTTTTTAACTGTTTGCTAGTTGAAAAGATTATCATTATTCACACAAAATTGAATTATAGATTATTATGTACCGGTACTTCACAGACGAATGAAAGATTCTATATAAACAAAAATAACTCAATATTTCCATTGCAATCTTAACCTACATGTAGATCTATTTTGTCAATTCATATAGTACAGTTTTGGATATATATTATAAATTTTAAGTTTAAAAGATAGAAGCTATTAAATAAAACAATGACATCAAAACAAACATGGTGTTTTCCTATTTTCTGCTTATGAACATCACATGACCATATTTTGCTGATATATAGAATACTAGGCCTATTTAAAAAACTTAGCTACTTTATGCTTGTGCTCACACATTATAAACGTTTGATGCACTTTTATTATAGAAACAAACTTGCTCTAGTTAATATTTTAACAACACAATTCTGTAAAATATGTGCCTAATGCCAATAAAGAATTGAAATAATAGGATAAACAATGAATGAAAACTGACAGAAGTGGAAATTTATACTATAAAGATAAATAATGTTCACTTAAAAGTCTCTCTCACCACATCATAAAAAGTAAACCTACTGAATGGCACAGATTTTATACAATCTCTATAGGCCCTATAGACATGGCAGACATTTATATTTCGGGGGGGGGGGGGGGGGGCGGGGAGTAAGCTGTATCACCAAGTGATGTTTATATGCTTCAAATTCATTTTTATTAATAAAAATAATTAATTCACTGGTCAGAAAGTCAAACTGTCAAAAGGTATAGTTCGCTTGATTTGATAAGGACCACTGACCACTACCGGTAAAATAACTGTGTATTGTAAGGCAAATAAAATTAAGAAAATATGCATTTGTTAATCTTGATATTTTTGTAATGCTCAGTATATACATAAATTTACCTTCTGTCTTCATTGTTTAGGATGTCTAGCCTTCTTTTCTTCTTCCAGACTGTAAAACTTTGATGAGGTCTTTCGCCAGAAAATTTTCATTGCTGTTTACTAAATACACATTGTACCTCCAAACGTTAGAGAGTAGTTCAAGGGAAGTAATTAGGAAGCAAAAAATGCTTCAAAATGTAGAAAAAAGTAATCTTTACCTTTGGATTCCTTTTACATCTTTGAGTCTCCCACCAATATTTTACATATTTTGATATAATCAAATATCAGCCTTTCATAATTAATTATTACTAAATTTGTAATCAGTGTGCCTTTTTTGTTTTAAGCCTCTAAAAACTCCACTAAACCAATCACATATCTGATATGTTATAATATGTAAAATGGCCATTTACTATTGAGAGATTAGATTAAAACTACAGATATAATTACTTTAATCTGTAGTATTAAATTTAAATAATGAAAACATATTAAGTTATCCCTTTCTATTTCTGGACACAGTTTTTCTTGATAAGTACACAGTTTTCAAAATTAACAAAATTGAGAATTTTGCACCCCGTTTCTATGGCAACCAAGGGTCTATTTCATAAACCCACTTTAGATTTTATAATTAATGACATAGCTCTTTAAAATTATTATAAAAAAATCAAAATGTTTTTCTATGCGTGGCCAACCAATTTTGATAATTACAGAGAATTGATATTAATAAGCGAGACAAAATTTTCACGAATTGTGGTTATTCCTCTATGCAATCCTAAGGAATACTATTAAACGCGAGAATTAAATTTTCGCGAGCACACTGTCTCGCGTAATTACACGTAAATAAAGTTCACGCAAATAAAAAGTGATTTACAGTATATAGCAAGAAGGCATGTACTTCTCTCGTCTTAAAAGCCTCATCTGCCTCAATCTTCCTGTGATTGTATATTAAAAAATGGCTAAGTAAGGGGTGTGCTTACATCAATAATATGTAAGACATTTAATTTATCTTCTTTCATTCTTCATTTCAATATATAATCGCCGTTAATTGTAAACATTTCAATTAAATTTCTCTTATCAAGGGTTTACTTGCGAAAAATCTTTGGGATATCAAAAACTTGAAGAACTTGTCTGACAAAAATGTTCACTCCATATGCAAAAAGACAGAATAGAATTTCCGGAATATTGCAAGACCTTTAAGAGACAGGGAAGGATCGGCCCCATCCGAGTTTACAACACTCCAGAAACAGAGAGTTGGAATTATACGGACAGGGTCTATCGAGGGTGTTTCAAATGAACAGGATATGTGTGGGGATGCAAACAACTTCAGCTTTTTAATACTAACAAGATATGATTGTGAAACTCAGATGTCCCAGCATTATAACAGTTTATTGCAAACCGTAGTTTCTGATATGCAAATCAACCTTCAAGGACAATGATCAAAATGGTTGATCGGACTGAATTTATATACCTGTGAAATATGAAATCTGCACTTACTGTTCAAAGGTTATGATCATTTGATTTTTTAAATGCAAATGAAATGTGTTTGATGAGAAATTATGAACCATATGGCCAATATGAATGAAAGGTTATGCTAAAAATACGAACCATTATTTCACTTTCCTTGAATGGATGGGATATGCTGCAACCCCGTGGAGCACAATCACCGTTACTGTAACCAGGCCTAACGAATACAATATTAATCATAAATTGCTTGTTTTTTTTTTTTGGGGGGGGGGGGGGTATTAAACTACCTGCTTTAAGTATCATGAATAAGCATTTTATTCAAGTATAACAGGAATTTTCTTGACACGTGTATCTGGCGGGTACTCCTTAATCAGAGTTCTTCCACACGACAATTTATTATTGAGTCAAGTCAAATAAATTAGTTAAGAAATACATTTTCGTTTCAGTAACAGACTATAAATAAGCTTTCAAGTTTTTGCTGTACTGTACCTTGTACAGGTCTATTTTGCTACTTTTGTTGACAAAGACTTATTAAAATGTACCTTAAAAGCTTCCTAATTATTAGTAGATGTAACATTTATATGTTCATTTTCAAGCATGATTATCCATATGAACACGAGAGAAACGATTTCTTCAGAATTTTTTTCTTGATTGACGACAAAGGGTTGACAATGAATGGATTTTTATGTAGAATTACTCTGTCTTTAAAATTAGACAGCCATATGCTTCTTTGTAATGGAATATCTTAATAATTGGTGTGAAACTCAACAGACGTAACTTTTAAACTTTTTCCTGTATTTAAAAGGAGTATTAATTATTTATTCTGCCTTTGTGGTGCTTAAAATGAAAATCCCTTATCTTTTTCAATGTTATCTTGCTTTATATTTGCCTACTTACCAAAGACCATGAATTTCCCACATCTTTGCAGGAACAACACACTTTTTGTCCTTTTAAAGAAAAATATTTATCAGGAAACTTTTTCTATAAATTTATAAGTTTTAGTAGTTTTGCCTTGTAAAGAGCTGGGCAATTAACCCCTTTCCTAACGCCAACCTCTGAGAAAAAAAAAGAGACTTTTGCGTATTACTGTTTTCTTGTACGTTCGAAATTTTATCGAAATACACTTTAGGTATAACATTAGGTATAAAAGATATTCAACGTAAAAGAAGAATGCTAGGAAATAAATTAAAGTACATGTAGATAATTTAAAAGTTCTTTTCTGTTCAATTTCTGTTTCAAGATTTGATCATTTCCCCTTTAAATAACTGTATCCAAAGCAATTGCCAAAGGTGATTTTTTTAAAAAAAAAATACATGTACTTACAACCAAATTACAAAATTTACACATCGTGACTGGCCAAGTCAGAGTCAATACAAACGAATCCCATTCCCTCTCCTCATTGTACACTCTGAAACAAATATCAAATGTTAATACGTTTCTTCATAAAAAATGAGTAAAAAAATAAAATAAAACATTCATGTGATAAAATGAAAGGTATACGTCGAAATGATGCCAATTATACAAATGCATTGAGCAATGCGGTTCTTCATCTTCATTTCGACTGTTTTAGGAATTCACTCGCAACATGAAGTAAATTAATCAAGCACATGACATTAAGTTTCCTGGTTACAAGGAAATACATAAAGTTTAAATGTTAAACTACTTAAATGAATCTTTGATACGGAAAATAATTGAAAATTTTTATAAGGGATCAGTACGGGCAAATATGTTGAAAAAATATATGAATTCAAAACTGTGTATGTAAACTTCCGTGATTAACGTTAATACAGAAAGCTAAAGTGGGCTCTAGCTATGGCCGTTATATTGACGTTGTTAGCAAATATAAGCTAATAGTGGGCCGTATTTTTGCGGACTTGTTTCATACAAAATGGTGTTCTTTGTTTTCATACTGAATAGGACGATAGATATTCTGGTCAATAGGTAAGGCTAACGGCGGGCATTCCCGGTCAACTGGTCCGGGATGCTTACTCCTCCTTACGTACCAGATCCAACATCAGGGCACCGTGTTTTTTCTTTATGTTACTGCTGAAAGGTTTTGTTTTAAAATTGATTAGTGATCAATAATCGCTATCTATACCAATTAATAAACACTGCACATTGTGGAGTTCCACTGCTATATACCGGTTATACATGAAGTTTATTGTTGTTTACGTGTTCTGTTCTTATGACCAGTAAAAATTATGCCAAGTTTTAAAATGTTACTATTATTTTGTTATATGATTTTCTCCTGTACGTACATGTACACACGCTAATACAAATTTGTAAGATTGTATATAGACGTAGTTTAATTCAAAGTTCTATGATATTCATTGTAATTCTGAAAATTTGCAGGTACTGTTTAGAATTTCATTAATTATTTTAGTCAAGGCAAACACTTAATACCAATAAAAACAAGACGCTTAGTATATTAATAGATTTGTTAAATTTCACAAAATTTTCAATATGGTCTGTTAAGAGAGTGCACAGGATACTATTTTGTTGTGCTTTATCCAACGAGTTGAAATTGTGTATGTATTCGCGAGGCTTGCCGAGATAATATGCACCATTACAACGAGTTAGATAAAGCCATTATCAAATCACGCAATTACAAATATTCTATATATATCATACGACTTTCGTTTTAACAAAACTTTGAGACTTCCCATGTGAATTCTACATCATTTAATTTCTATAAAATACTTGATTCTGATTTGGATAAAAAACTATTTTGATAACTACATCAATAAAATCTAGAGTTCGCTTGCACTAAACAGCCGGAACTACTTTGGCTGTCTTTACATGTATATTTCCCGCTTCCAGACTACTTTTTGAAGGAATAATTAATTAGTTACTTTAACAGATATTTTCCTTAATTTCGAAATCTGTCCTTTACGTTCGTGACTTATTTCATATTTTCGATTCTTTTTCGAATTATCACCCTCTGCTAAACAAACCAAATCGTCTGCATGAAAATACAGTTATAGGAAAGAATGAAAGAAATCAGCATACTTATGTTAAATGAATGTCTTTGAGATAACTGTTCTGAACAATAAAACTGTGAAGAAATGTTTTTTATGCTACCAAAGCGGGGAAATGCCGTTAATGTGTAAATTCGTAGAAAACGAATGATCGAGAAAAACAACACCGCATGGATGAGAACGGATTTCTTTAAGCCTAATCTTAAAAGGAGCGCAAATGAAATCCCAAAATTTCTGTGATTTAGAACTGTTAACTATTTGAGTAGCTTCCCTTTACATTGACGAACTTACCCTGGTAATATGCACATCTACACAATGTGTTCTAAATATCTGCAAAGTTTGACAAAATTGTGTGCAGCGGTTTATGAGGAGTTGCGCTGACAGATTGTTCATTTCTATATTCAAGATATGACCAAAAATTTAAGTGTAAAATTACGGAAATTCCCAGAAACAAGAGGCCTACGGGCCTTATAGGTCACTGAGTATCATGTAACATTTTTCCGGCAATTGAATTTGGTTTGTGTTTTAAACCAAAAGCCATGAAATTCACAATTTTGAAAGAGGCACCATTATTTATCATAATTATACACTTAACATGCTTACTTTCATTGGTTACTAAATACCCAGAGGTAGATCAGAGTAACAAAGAGAAAATGCATTTCCACTTTATAACCACCAGTTACGCATAAGTAGTATAAGGGGTCTGGATGGGCGGGTCAACTGAGTGCACTTTTGGGGCTGGGGTGGATAGGCGGGTCAAGTGAGTGCACTTTTGGGGCTGAGGGGGATAGGCGGGTCAAGGGAGTGCAGCCCCTGTGAGGGATAGGCGGGTCAAGGGAGTGCAGCCCCTGGGGGGATAGGTGGGTGAAGAGAGTGCAGATTAGGGGGTCTGTGGGGGATAGCTGGGTCAACTCAGTACAACCCTAACCCTAACCCTAACCCTAGGGGGGCTAGGTGGGTTAGTACATAGCCCCTATATGTCCTATACGGGGTGTTTACACTGTGTTTACATTTTACTATATACGCTGCTACTACGATTCACAACGCTGCTACTACGATTTTGGCAGCGAGTCAAAAGAATTTGATTATGACGTCACGCTTCACAGTCTAGACAGTCTAGCCTAACCAGTTCAAACTGGATTTTCTGAAAACAATAACAAAAGACAGATGATAACAAGGCAATTTTATTCAGAATTCAGAAAT